CATTTGACAATACCCCTTATTCAGTCTGGGATATCCCTTCTCTAGACAAATTTATCTAAATGAAATCCTACAACCTCAAGAAAAATATTTTAAAAAAGTCTACATCAGTGGAACCCCTTTGACGGTTGATTATCACTGAATCGGAAGCTCACCGCTTCATTATTTGCTGGTTAGATTAACGGCTGAGAAACAAGACATCTCCTGTACTTCGTCTTGACATGTGATCTCAACCGTGATTGTCTTACCCTGTTGCAATGGCGATTCTTAGGTTTCCCGTATGAAGAGCCGTCGGCCATAATGCGTGTATTAATGTGATCGTGTTTCGAGTCATTGAAGTTGAACATGAGAGCCAGTTTTGTATGCTGGAAGTGCTTCCTGTTGAGTGCCACAGTAGTGTGCTGAACTCACAGCCAAGTTTCTGAGTTCCAGCCCTGGTTATCTCACTCGGTTATGATTATTTTAAAGTAGATAAACGAATACCACACAATGAGAAGAAAACAAGTGAGTACATGCTATGGTGGTTGGAACCTGACGCTGCATACACCGCTTTAGAAAGTAACCCACCCCTTCTGGCCGATGGCATAGAGACTGAGATAAGCTCAGCGCATGTGCTCCATGAAAGAGGAGTACCACAACTGGGGTCAAGTCATGAATATGCAAGGGTGACTAAAATTCCACTGGTTACAGTCTGTCGCTCTTCTATCTGCTGTAGAATTTATATGCACCCTAGCAAGTAATCAATAATCAATGTTAAATAATTAACTGGATCAATCGCACAACCAAACACCGCGCAGTCTGCACTCTGGTTGGAAATGAAGTCTGCTTATATTGCTACGTTTGTTATTAAGCGGCTACCTAAAAATATGGACATATATTCTCTTAAGCTATAGGACAGCTATGGAGTTTTTCATCAACCCGAGAGTAAATGGCACAAGTGTTAGCGGATAGATAAAAACGTCGCTGTTTTAGTGAAGTATGTCTGTTTTGAGGAAAGATATAGTTAACCCTATCGAAGATGAACGAAGTGAGAAAGATTTGTGCATCATTTATAAATCCGATGTTGATGTACAACGTAAGTAGGACCCCCTAGGCAGAGCTGAAGAAAAGAATAAATAAATCAAATTATGGAATGATAATTTTCAAGCCAGCCAATTGTACTATTTTCAAGGGGCTTTCAGTAGCCCAAGCTATGTTCGTGAGAAAATCATCTAAGTTCAGATCAAAACTAGCTTGTCCAACTTTATCTTATAAACTATGAAGCTTTCGAGTCAACGTACACTACTGTGTATCAGGACTCATGTTTTGCTGAGGCCATTACGTCGCTTTGGTCCACGAATACCGCCCTGGTTGAAGCTATTCAATCGTGTGATATTGCATTAATGTGATGAAAGTGCATAAATAATGGAGCAATGGCCTGCCTAAATAGTCCGTTAATTCGTCGTCGAGAAGTCCTGAGACAATATCATATAATTTGACTTAATAACTTGAATCATCGCTGACGTAAGCCAACTCCAGTCGGTGTAAATTATTAAATGTAGCGACGGTAACAAAATTTATGACTTTCATATTGGATGCAAATTTAATAGGATGCTTCTTAGAGTTCACAACTCATAAAGTATTCAGTCGCAATTTACAGCGAATTAACCTGACAACTGTGCCGCTTTGAGCGGTGCAACATCGTAGTATAACCGAGTGTTATGATTGAATAATCACTCTCTACCGTAGGTTTTGCGTCAATTAGCTTTAGTGTATTGTGAATAATTATTTAGAACGGTGACAGATATATTTATGGTTTAATATTATAGTTGGCCCAACGTTTCATGCTAATTTCCGATTTCCGACCCTCAAGGGGAAAATCATATACATTTTTAGTACCATACTCATGTGAGGTTTAAGTGCAATTCACGGCAACTGAATCTTTCACTTACTCTCGCATTGAATCGGTCAGGAAGAAGCGGTAAACTATGGCCAACAGATAATACAGTACGATAAAAACAAGCACTTCCTTGTAAATTAGCCGGTAAATGCTGCCCTTACAACGAAGCAGCAGCCGAAAAAACTTCAGCAGTCCAATGGATGACATGAAATGGTTGTAAGCGATCGTCATTCTGGTAATCAGTCGGTGGCGGCGATTATACCCTCAGGCTGCAAATGACCCTCGGCCTTGCGAGGATTCGAAGTGAGAGAGAATATCCAACGAGTGATAGGACTTGGTCGCTAGGATAAACTTTGATTTTCGATATGTTTCTTTTATGTGGGCGATAGAAAGTAGGAGTGAACAGCGACTTAGTCAGTTCGTTCGCCACCGACGAGGCGACTGCAGTGTTCGTCGCGCTCATTTGTGGAACTGGTTTCTTAGTCAGGGTGACATACATTTCCCAAACTAATCCTCAGTACGGCACCATTCGCTAAGTGCATTTCGACGTCGCCTACTTGTGTCGACTGCGCAAAGGGCGTTGGTTGTAGCTGCTCTTAGAATCGCCGAATCGTCTACACTTCGAGAGATCAAGGTTTCATTTAGGTCGAAACAACGGCAGTTGCCGAAAGAGACATTATGATGTGAAACATGGTTTCTTCTACGAGGCTGGATGGAATGCAACACGATTTAAGTATCCGTTTACAGTAATCTCAGTTCATATCCGGCACGTATCCGTAGTATATAATTTATCTACCTCGTTGACACCAAAGCGCAGTTCAAGATTCAAGTGAACTCCAAGGTTGCAAACAAAAAAACTATGTGTAATTACACCGAGGCACTACAAGGCAAGCCGATCCATGATCGGTAGGAAGGATCTGACCCTTATTGGGGCCTATTCTAGCGCGAACTGACTATTCTAACACTTTCCTGTCTGTGAAGCTGAGAAATCCGAAGGGGCAGAACTGTAGCATTGTTCACAGCTTTCACTCGTTAAGTCAGAGGCACTGAGTTTATTGATTGATGAAAAATATGTCATATTTTACATAACTACTGCTGTGTTCTGATAAACATATTTGTCTAAGCGAATTAAATGTTTTTCTTTCTCATTTATTGCCATTATGTGATGCTCAAGAAACTGTTCGTAAGAGTCGTCAATATGATTAAGCACACTGATGTTAATGACCAAACCACAAAACATGCTGAGAATTTTGCGAGGTACGGAGTTGAAAGCGCGCAAAGATCAAGAGAAGAGGTAAAATGATCTGTGTTGTAAGCTCGACATACTCTTGCTGTGATCTACAGATATTGTGTTCATTAGATATACAATGTTTAATTGCTATCTATATGATATTATATATCTAAATGATATCTAAATGACGATAGAAGCTTTCTTATCAAAAGAAAAATTCCACTGGATTTATACATGTTTGCGAATTGACTGCGATTATGAAAAGTCTAAAACTTCAATTAAAATCTTGCGTCGTTGAAAAGAGCACCAAACACGGTCTATTTTGC